GAGATGGACTGCCAACGACCCTCAGGGATAGGAAGAGGCTGGAGCAAACCATAAGGTAGGTGGTTCGCACTGTTCACCTCCTGACAGGTGGGACACTCTGCGACGTAGTCCTTCACAAAGTCCTTGCGCTTCGGCCAGACGTACAGGCGGCTCACACGAGCCAACGTCTTGTGGAAGCCCATATGACCGGCAGCTCCCTAGTCATGGAACTCTTCTACTGCTCGGACACGTAGCTGTCCAGTGGAGGGAACGCAAATACGGGGCTCGCTGGTGCCCTGTGAACCGTGCCAGTACACAARACCGTTGTCCCCGAGAGAGTAGTTCGGGACGGTCTTGCCACTCCGAAGGGTCGCGTGGATGTCGCGATAGTCGGGGCAGTGGCGGTACTGAGTGCGAAACTCGTCGATCACCGAGTGGTGGACGGTGGTGACCGAGATGGAAGAGAGTTGGATGTGCTCCTGGTCATGGTCAGGGCGTCGGGATAGGGCATCTGCGACCCGATTAGTCTCACCCTTGATGTGCTCAGTGGTGAAACTTAACTCGGATAGGTCGCGCCACCAGCAAGCCTGTCGAGGAGTGAGCTTCGGYTTTGTCAGAAAAGCCTGGACAACAGAGTTGTTCGTGCGCACCGTGAATGGTGCCCCGTGCAGGTAGTGACGCCAATGCCGAGCGGCATAAGCTACTGTGAGAACCTCACGTTCATCAGCAGTGTAGTTTATCTCAGCGGGCAGGAGTTGACGGGAGTAGAAGGCTATCGGACAATCACCCGAGCGAGACTCGACAGTGCCGTCCTCGGCGATGGTAGGAGAATAGTCAATAGAAGGCTCGTCAGTAGCTGGACGAGTAGGCGTCAGTCGGGAAGCAGTGGTAGGGGTAGGTGGTGGGAAGYGAGGGATACGAGGATGAGAGGAATCAGGAGATGARGGGAAGAMYTGAGAAAGCACTGCTCCTACAGCGAAGTCTGACGCRTCGGTGGTAAGGATAAAAGGGCGGTCAAAATCGGGTAGGTGAAGAACCGGTGCGCATGTCACCGCCTTCTTGAGGGCGCGGAAGGTGTCCTCGTGGAGGRGTGTCCAAGCCCAGGGTGGGTTCTTCCGGAGGAGGGTGGAGGTAAGGACRTAGGAATACCTAGCGTATCCCCGGATGAAGTTACTATAGTMGCTGGTCAGGCCTAGGAAGCTGCGAAGCTGCTTGGCGGATGTGGGAGCGGGCCACTCCGCAATAGCAGTGATCTTCGCGTCGTCCATGTGGAGACCCTGGTCAGACACGTAGTGTCCTAAGAAATCCACTTTGTGCTGGGCAAAGCGGCACTTGCTAAGCTTGGCGTAGAAGCCATGTCTGCACAAGCGGTCAAGAATGTCGCGGAGGTGTCTTAGGTGCTCCGCAAGGGTACGACTATAGACCAGGATATCGTCGAGGTAGACGAGAACGTACTGCTTCAGAATGTCCCTGAAGATGTCGTTCATCGCCCTCTGGAAGGTAGCGGGTGCGTTGGTGAGGCCGAATGGCATCACCGTGAGCTCGTAGTGGCCGAATCGTGAGCGGAACGCGGTCTTCGGCTGGTCGGTTGCAGCGACGCGGATCTGATGGTAACCGCTACGAAGATCAATCTTCGTAAAGAAGCGGTTKCCTGCTAGGCGGTCGAACAGCTCATCGGAACGAGGCATGGGGTAGTTGTTCTTAACCGTGTAGCGGTTAAGGCCGCGGTAGTCGATGCAGAGACGAAGAGTTCCATCCGCTTTGCGAGCAAAGAGGACGGGTGCGCCCCACGGAGAGTTGCTGGGTTTAATGAAACCCAGTCTCAGGAGCTTCTCAAGCTGACGCTTGAGTTCGGTGGTCTCGGGGATCGAGAGTCTGTAGGGTGCCTGGTGGTGAACACGATATTCAGGCACGAGCTGAATGGAGTGCTCGACGTCACGCATCGGTGGGATGCCGGCGTACGAGAACGACGATGGAAAAACGTCGTGGTACTCTCGGATGAGGTCACGAACTGCGGGCTCCAAGTCAGTCGTATATCGTGCGAGTTCCTCAGTGTCAGCGTCAGCGCCCGACGACGGGGTGGACTCGACGGACGGCGGAGGGACGGAAGTAGAGATGGGAGCCATGGAGATAGAGGGAGGATCTGGCTCCAGAGGGATGAGCTCGGCGTCGCGACAGGGCGGATCATAGTGTAAGAGATCCGTCACGTCCACCATAAAGAAGGTGACGTCGTCCTGTCGAATAAAGTGAGCGAACTGTCGAGGCGAGGTGACAGTGATAAAGAGATGGTGTGGGCACTGAAGGCTCCGGGGGAGGAGGATCGGGGTGTGGTATCGTCGTGGTACCTATGAAAGGTACGCGATACGTCTGTCCACACTTCGTTTTGAGAACGAGAGTGTTGGTCGCCCAATCGGCCTCGGTGCTGTGGAACCGACGAGACCACGGAGTGCCGAGAATGAAGTCGTACCCCGTCTCCATCACATCGAAATGTGCAGCGGAGCGGTGGCGACGAGACGCCGGGGAACGCTCAGTCGGTTCGAGAGTGAGGAAGAGGGGGAGGTCGGTGACCGTCTGATCGAAGAAGCGCTGGGTCTTGTCATCCCCTAGGGTAACGGAGATGGGAGTCGGAGACCCTGTCGTGGGTAAGCGGGCTTCCTTCACCACGCGTGGGTGAATGAAGTCGCCCTGAGAACCGGAATCCCACAGTGTTGAGTACACCCTCATTGAGGTCCCGAGTCGTACGGGGATGATCGGGAGGGTGCGATCAGGGTCAGAGAGGATGGCGAGAAGGCGACGCAGTGCAGCGACATGGAGGGTGAGTCGCTCCTGACGAGCCTGGAGCATGCTCAAGTCCAGCAGAGAGGACACAACGTCCTTGCGAGTAGCAAGTTGCTCGCTGCAACGGGCTGAGCGAATGGCTCGACGCGTCGGTAGTCGCGGCGGGGAAGGAGGGAAGACGGTGGTCTGCGGAGGCGCAGACGGTACTGCGACAGAGGGCGGAGTACACTCTGTCGAGTCCTGC